GGGGTGTGGCGCCGCAGCCGGGGCCGTCGACGGCCAGGCACCGGAGGGAGCTGGCGTGGGTGTCGATGCTGCTGTGCCAGCCCTGGCCGAAGACGGCCTCGGTCGGGGACAGCTGCACGCAGCGGAAGCAGATCATGTGGGCGTCGGCGTTGCACTGGGTAAACTCCTCAAAGGTCGACTCGGTGAAGCAGCAGCAGCACTCGTGCAGGGCGTCGACGGCCTCGCCTCCTCGCTGTTCAGCACCCGGGCCAGGCCGCGGTCCTTGTCAAGCTGGGTCGCGCGGGCGCGGTCTTTCAGGGGGCGGATGAGCTCGTCGTACAGCTCGCGGTCGAGCTCGGCATGTCCGGTGGCGCGCAGCGTCGGCGTGATGGAGCCCTGGCCGGTGGAGCGCCAGATGACGAGGGGGTGGTTTTCGGCGTCGCCGGCGGTGGCGGGCTTGCGGCGGGAGAAGAGGGACGAGATGGTGAAGCGCCAGGACTTGGCCGACAGGTCGAGCAGGGTCTTGCGTGCGTCGAGATAGGAATAGTTGAACTCGGCGAGCACGGCGTTGACGGCGGCGCGCGTCAGGCCCTTGAACTCGGTCCAGGCCAGGGCTTGGACGGCCTTTTTGTACTCGTCGCTGCGGAAGGCGTCCTTGTGCGGGACGGCGGTCGGAACGGCTGGCGAGGCATCGCTGGAGGCATCGCTGGAGGCATCGCGGGAGGCATCGCGGGAGGCGTTGTCCTCGATGGTCCTCCATCGGCCCTTGACCCAGTTGACGTGGTTCTTCAGCAGCGCATCGGCGACGACGGCGAGTCTGGATTCGCCGTCAAAGTTGGACAGCATCTCGCGGAAGACCTCGGGTTGGACGTTCGGAAACAGGGCCGCCAGGGCCTCGAGGCTGTTGTTGAGCTCGCGGAGATCGGGACATTCTTCGGGCGGGTCCTGCAGCTGGGCCTCGTCGTGGATGTATTCGAGACGGGGTTCGGGGGGTTCGGTCGAGGGGGTCGTCAGAGAAGACTTGGAGGAGCGATGGGATAGGCGTCGATCAGCGGACGTGCCGAGGAGTACTGTGAACGGCATGGTGCCTGCTCATGGTTGTCGCATGCCCGAGTGGCATATCTTTATTTTATTTTTTATTTTTTTGTATCTTCTTTCTTTCGGCAAAGGGCGTGAGAGGGAGGATGGCGTGCTGTTGAGGTGTGGGAGAAAATGGGAAGTGGTCACGAGAGGACTGACTCTCCGACGTGGCAGAGACAGAGACAGAGGCAGAGGCAGAGGCAGAGGCACAGGCAGAAGCAGGTGCCGAGAGGAGAGGAGATTCAGGGCCACGATAAGGCACTGTGCGTGCCGTGCTATCTGGCTTTGTCACGGTGTACTTGCTCCAGGTGCAGGCAGGTACTTCGCAGCTCGGTCCCTGAGGTACAAGAGGCATGGAAAGAGGGTATTTTCCACACCACATGTCATGGTCATTTCAAGATGGATCAATGATTCTCTATTTTTTTTTTGTTTTTATTTGTTTTATTTTTCAATTGAAAAATCTCACGGTATACAGTCGTGCCACGTCCACTACACACCCCCAAGCGACAACATGCACATGCACATGCACATGCCCATCCATCTATGACTTGCGGTGCAGAACACCAGCGCCAGCCTGTCCAACAATTAGTCTCCTCGTCTTCATCACGCCAGGGTCCCCTCTGTCTTACCTGGTGGTTGGGGAACACGAGCGTGTCGGCAATGACCACGTTCTCCCGCCTCGTCGCGCTAAAGACGATGACCTCGGCAATGTCGTCAGGGGTCAGGGGCTCGCAACCACTGTGACGCTGCTGTCAGCCATCCGCATGTCCCATTGTCATGACGGCCGCGCGCTGTACAGTGGGCGTCTGTCTGTGCAGTGGACGTCGGGGTGCTACTCACGCATAGACGGCATCGGCCTTGGCCTTGTCGCCGTAAAAGCGGACAACCGAGAATTCCTGCTGCTGTCAGCTCTCTCTCTCTCTCTCTCTCTCTTTCCCTAGGTGTCTGCGATGGGAGGGCAAAGCAGGAAGGACAGCGGGCAGCCCCAACGTACCGTCTCGACTTGGCCGGGATCAACCTCCATGACACGGATCCGCGTCGCGATGAGCTCCTTGCGCAGCGCGCCTGTGAGCTGCGCACGGCAGCCTTGGTGGCGCAGTAGATGGAACCCCCGGCGTACGGCTCACGGCCTGGATGTGGTCAGCAACAGACAAGAAGCACGGCTGACGACTGCCCAGAGAGGCAACAAGCATCACCCACCAGCAATGGAGCCCACGTTGATGATGTCGCCCGCCCCGCCGTCGGCCCGCTGCTTGAAGATGGGCAGAACGGCCTGCGTCACGTTGATGAGCCCCGTGACGTTCGTGTCGAACATGGTGGCCATGTCGGCCTCGGCAATCTCCGGCGCCCTGGCCACGCCCTTGACGAGCCCGGCATTGTTGACGAGCACGTCGATGGCGCGGAACGCCTCGGGCAGGCCGGCGACGAAGCCGCGCACGGCGTCGGGCTTGCTGACGTCGAGCGCCACGGGCAGCACCTCGACGCCGTCGCCAACCTCCCTGACGATGTCGTCGGCGATGGCCCGCAGCGTGTCGACGCGCCGCGCCGTCAGGATGAGCTTGAGGTTGCGGGGCGCTGTGCGCGCAAACTCAAAGGCTGTGCTGCGGCCGATGCCGCTCGAGGCCCCCGTGATGAGCACCGTCTTGCCCTCGAGGCGCTTGGCGGCGGCGGCGGACGCCATGGTTCTGGCGATGCTGCTGATGCTGCTGCTGATGCTGCTGCTGTGCTTGAGGGAGTGTGTGAGGGGATGGCGAGCAAGAAGGAGTGAGCCGAGGGTCCTGACTGTGTGGTTGAAGCGTGTCATGTGTAAGGGATAAGGGAGAGAGATGAAAATAGACACGAGCTTTTCTTCGCGCAGCGGGATCAAGCACCCAGGGTAAGGTACCGCAAGGCAAGGTAGGTAGGTAGGCAGGTATCCCCGTTGGCCTTGCGAGATAGGAGGTTGTCGATGGTGTCTGTTCCCATAGGCCCGTTTCGGCTGCCGAGAGGGAGGGGGGGCACCCCGATAAGGCCCCGTGAGCCGTGGACCGACGCAACCCCGCCGTCGCAAGCCCCCTGAAGGCCTGAACCGACCCCTGGAGCCCGCCGCGGGGTTGACAACGTGCGCGCCCTGCGTCGCCCGATAACGGCGCCAGACCCCCGCAATTCCAGCCTTGCACCATCTCGCCGCGCATGACGACAACCATGTGTGTCATGGCCTGGCGTGGCAGCTTACAAGCAAAGGGACTCGTTTCTCGGAAGGCTGGTACAGCTTCAACTTGACACTGATGGATTCCAATCCCTTCACTGGGTCATACTCTAGTCACTGTAAGACCGTTTGCACCAAAAGGCTGCCTACTACAAGGTGGGCAGTGTAACACTGACGCAAACCAACGACCATGTCACAGCAGCAGGCAGGCTCGACACATTGACGAAGAATCCATCATGATGACGCCGCTTCCGCTCCTAACCATTATATAGACCCGATAGGATCTGAAGGCAACTTGTCACGGCAAGTCCTGATGCCGGCCTTCAGCACCGTCGGCCCCAAAATAGGATCCATGTGGCTGTCCGTGTTGGTTCCCCCTCTTGCCGGTCTTGGATCTCCCCCTTAGGCCGATATGGTACGAACGACATTCTGATCGTTACGACTCAGTGTACATGGTCCGATTGTTGCCTCAAGACACGATTCTGAGAGCCCTTACCGCAGACGACAAATTTGTCGCCTTGAATCAGGGAGAAGATGAACCCCCGATGGGCTAACGGTCAAAATGTTCTTGTAAATGCTCACCTATGTGTGGGCCTTGACAGCGCTGCGGAATCCTTCTGCGCATGCGGTTGCACCTTCTAGAACGTGTGGAGGATAGTTCCATTCGATCAAGTACAAAGAGAAGCCGATGCCCGGGAACTTGTCGACGAGAGTGGCATCACTCGTGGGTTTGAAGCTCGGCCCTTTGAGAATGATGTCTCCTTTTCTGGGCGGATGCTTGCTAAACGGTCACGGAAAGATAGTCTCAGTGAGGTTGATATGCTAGACTGCTATGAAGTGATGGTAGAAGCTCCGGCTAGCTTCATCCTTTGAAGAAAACATCCAGCCGAAGCCCCTTTCGCGACTATAGACCCCGACCATCATGGAAGGCATTACAGGCCAGCCCTTCCCGTTTCCTTTGACCTGCGAGACTCTACAGCAGATGCGCATATCCTGCAGTTCCGTGCTGATTATGGGCTTTCCGAACCGAATGTTTCGAATACCTCTCGTGAAATGACATTGACCTTTTTCCGGGCTTCGAGGGACAGATTCGTACCAGACCGGCCCCATCGTCGAACGTCCACTCCGCTTGTACGGACTGCCGAGCGGCACCTCATGGGAGCGCGCTGTGTCGTCGAAACCGCTCCGCTTGAAGTCCCATCTTCCGTCAACACACAGACGTACATTGGAAAAACGTCCTTCTGGATGAAGCAAGCACCATCGATGGGATCATGGATTGGGAGGGGGCGTAAACAGCTTCGTTCCAGGTTTCTCAACCCTGTCGACCAACTGGGCAAACCAACCCTTTACTAGGTAATGATGCTGCAGTTGCTCTGTATGGGGACGATGATGAGAATGCTTCGCCGCTTACTAGTCTCCAGGAAGAGGAGACTGTGAAGAATCATTGTCGAAGATATTTTCTTCAAGGGCTGTGCTGTAGAGGGAGCTGGCTGGTTGTCTGAATGGCTACAACTAGCTGGAAGTATGTCCAGAACATCCTCCGCGCCTGAAGAATTGCGTCAAGGCTCTTGAACATGATGACTGAATGGCGTTATAAAATTTCGGGTATATGGTAGGGTGAAGCATGTAGCAATCGTCTCTGCCAATTTTCTTTTCCGTTTGTGTTGCGATGTGAAGGGGAAATGTCTCACGAAACCGATGTTCTTTTAAGAAAATCCATTATTTTCCCTTCCCTCTTTTTTTCTTGTCAGAGAAAGCAGGCTCGTTATGAGATTAGCAGCCACAATCAGGACGCCTCAAGGCTGGTGTTTGATGCTTCGTCCACCAGCCGGTAATCGACGAGGATTTTGAAGTCTCGTGTTGGTTGGACCACTCGAAAATTCGAGCTTGCTGACTCTGCCTTCACCTGCCGACCCATGTTACAGTTAAGATAAAAGGGACGAAAGTCTAGAAATAACAAGATCATGGAAAGTCCGCTTTCTTCTTACTAACAATCTCGATCAGCGCTCATGTACGTCAATCAGCATAAGAATGGATGGCGCTCATCCAGGAGATGCTGACAGTCACGTGCACGTGCCACGGATGGCCACAAGCACCTGCCTCGTTGTTGCGGGACAGCCTGCCTGCTTAAGTAGGTCTCAAGATTACCTCATCACCATCATCATGAGCTTCAGCTTGGACTAGTGAACTACGAACGTCACTCCCTCTCAACGACATACACGCCAGCCATCACAACCCATGATTGCCGAAGAGCAAAAGAGCAAGCCGAAATAAAGGATTCTTACACAATCATCTCTTCACCTCGAATTGATGTTTTGACCCGCCTATACGTGATCTCGAGATGACGGAGGTCGCCACCATCCAGACACAAACCCCGCCTTTGCTGTCAGGGCCCTCAGAGAAGGAACGAAAATATGACCGCCAGTTGAGGCTGTGGGCCGCCAGTGGCCAGGCTGCATTGGAGTCCTCCAGTATTCTGCTCGTCAACTCATCCTCAGGCACCGTGGGCGTCGAGACGTTGAAGAACCTAGTGCTGCCAGGTTCGTGTCGGCCAACCCCTCTTTGCCTGCGCCCTGGAACTGACCTCGTCCAGGCATCGGCAAATTCACCATAGCCGACGGCGCCAACGTGCAAGAGGCAGACCTCGGCGTGAACTTTTTCCTCGATGCCAGCAGTCTTGGCAAACCGAGAGCCCAGGCTTGCGCCGACTTGCTTGTCGAGCTCAACCCAGAAGTCGAGGCCGACTGGTTCCCGAAGAACAGCGTGAGACTGAGACAAGAACCGGCCGGAAATAACGCGCAAACAAGGCTGACCATGATACCCAAAGGAGCCGTACGACCTCGCCAAGGTGCTCGAGAGCCCTGAGCCGTACACCATCATACTCTACGCTCTGCCCATCAAACCTGAAGATCTCAAGATTCTCGAGGCGTACGCGGCAGACCACAAGACGCCATTGATTGCCGTTCATTCGGCCGGCTTTTACGCTTATTTTCGCGTCCACCTGCCCGCCGCGTTCCCCATCGTGGACACTCATCCAGACGAGACCGCCACCACCGACCTGCGGCTGCTCACGCCATGGGCGGAGCTCTCCACCTTTGCACAGGACATGACCAAAGATATCGACGGCCTGGACAATCATGAACACGGTCACCTACCTTTCGTGGCCATCCTGCTCCACTACCTCGAGGCCTGGAAGCAGTCCCACAAAGGCGAGTACCCGTCGACCTACCAGGACAAGGTCGCCTTCAGGAGGGTCGTAGCCGAGGCGGCAAGGACAGACACCCCTGAAGGTGGCGAGGAGAACTTTGACGAGGCCGCTGCGGCCGTCCTCAAGACGATATCGCCACCTTCGCTTCCAGAGTCCCTGCGACACGTCTTCGAATACCGGTCTGCTGACCTTGTAAGCGTCCGATCCCTTCCCTCTTGGCAACGGGTGGACCACTGTCTTTGTGTCCCCTCTCACTTACTCATGCCCCCGTCTGAACCTTCTGTGGCGAGGGAAGAAAAGGGGTGGGGGATGTGGCTCGTCTGAGGAAGCGAGTGGCTGGCTAATATTGCGTCGTGCAGGAAGAGACACAGTCTAGCTTCTGGATCATCGCCGGCGCCGTCAAGGCTTTCTACGAGAAGCACAGGTGTCTGCCCGTCCCTGGCGGCCTCCCGGACATGAAGGCGCAGTCCAGCGTCTACATACAGCTCCAGGGAATCTACAAGGCCAAGGCACGCAAGGACGCCGCCGAGGTGCTCGACTCGGTCCGCCGCGCCCAGGGGGCGAACACGTCGACCCGGCAGAGGTAGACTTGTTCTGCAAGAACGCAGCCTTTGTCAAACTGATCGACGCGAAAGACGGGGGGGCCGAGAGATTACTCAAAGTAGCCGGTAAGTGCGGGATGACACGCGTCGGAACATGAGAACAACAGGGGAATCTCGTTCCAGGGTCTTCTACGATGATGCAATGACATCCCTGGAGCGGCCCTGCTCATCTTGTGTGTGTGCGTGTGTGTACATATGCGTGTCTGCGCGCGAGAGCAGCAGGCGGGCGGCGGTCGTGGTGGCGACGCTTCAAGAGCACAGGCTGACTCGGTGCACAAAATTTTGTACAGACGAAGAACTCGCCAACGATGACATGGCGGCCATGGGCGTCATGCCCGCGTCCCTGCTCCCCATCTATCTCGCCCTGCGCGCCACGTCACACGCCCTCGACACTGCCGCTGCTGGGGCGGCGCTGTCACCCGAAACCATCCTCAAAGACGTCACGGCACTCGTGCCCAGGGCCACAGAGAGCGAGCGCTACGCTCAGGCGGCTCAAGAGGTGTCCCGAGCCGCCGGCGGAGAGCTGCACAACGTTTCCGCCGTCATGGGCGGCCTGGTGGCTCAGGAGATGATCAAGATTATTACGAAACAGTACATCCCCGTCCATAATACCTGCATATTTGACGGCATTGGAAGCCGTTGCCAGGTGCTGCGCCTGTAGACCCGGGCAGCCGAGCCAGAAATTGCGGCACCTACGATAAAGAAAGGGTCCACAGTCTCGACCAACCCCCCTCCCCCCTTCCCGGCCCCTTTCGATCACCTTTCCCCCCCCTGAACGCTCATGGCACCCCTCCCCTACCACCTAGATTTTGCACGCCCCTCGCTCACCCTCTTTCTCTCTCTTTCCCTTTTCTACCCCTCCTTCTCTACCTTGTTCGGAGTCGGAGCCTCGCCGACGGAGAAGGAGGGTCATGTGCGGAATCCGGAGGAGGCGTTTTGTGA